AAAAAAAAGAGAGAATAATGTCCTGCTGTGTGCGGTTTTCAGAAGGGCAGATAAATGAAAACTGCAAATACAATACTGGACATTTCATAATAACCTAATCAAGTTGCCCAAAATAATCACAGCTCCATCTTGTTGACACATGTTGACAGATAGGCATCAGGTTCCATTCTCATTTGTCTTATTATTTCTCTTAAAATTCTATTACCTTGCAAATTTTAACCATGAAAAATCAAGCCTCTTACCCACGTGTGTTGAGTGGGAGATGATGGAGGAATATTGAAAGCTTATGCAATCCTTCTGCAAGAGAAGGCAGCAATACACTGATTCCATGATCTGTTACTGTTTGAATTTGAACTGCAGTATCCCCAATTTTGACCTTCACATCAAATGGAGTATAGTTGGAAAATGAAGAAATACCTATCACAAGCAGCTGACCTCCTGCAATGAAGAAAAAACACAGACAATACTTTTTTTGTTATAGTTAGTAACCTGCTACTCTCATAACAACTCTTTTCCACAAACCCCAATATTCTGTTTTATTTCCACATTGAAAGGTTGACAATATGTTTGTGTTTTATATTTTTGCCTGAAATAAAACTATCTTCAGAGAAACCCATTTGGTTTTGCTTTTTATCTCCAAAAATACAGTTCTATAAGATAAGGGGAAGGTGATAAGCAGGACATTGAGGCAAAAAAAAAAAACCTGTCTGACAATTTAGCCTCAACACCTGGCAATCAAATGCATCGTGCTCTTGATAAAAATCTTGCAACAAATCTCAGTGGCTGTTATGTCTGGATTCGTTCTACCAATATGCAAGTTATGTGCTGCACTCAGAAAGTATTCAAGGTTAATACGGGATTTTCTTTACATTGACAGTGTCTCTCCTGTTTGCACTTGCAGCCTTGACAGGTATAATTGGATATTGGATAGCCTCCTCGATCTCTCAACCTTTTTCCTTCAATGATGCGCCTAAGCAAATCTGCCAATTGGAAGCATGACTAACAGCTAGGAATGTACTAAGCAAGCATGAATGTTTTATCTAGGTCTAGTTGAAAGGAAAACTCTGAAAAGGCTGCCTTTGAGATATTAATGAGAGAATCCTGAGGGTAGCACTTTTGGTATCAAAATTATCTTACCTACCCAACACGATGCCTCGTGAACAGAACAATTGTGATCTTTTTTTATTCTGAACCACTAAATTTTAACTACTTTTTTTGCCTAAATATGCAAAACACTTTCAAACAAGACATTGAAAGATATAAATATTGGAAAAATCAAATAAGAATAGAACAAAAAAACTTATCTCTCTCTTTTTACCTGTTATGCCACTTTGATTTCTGTTCATTGACACAATGCATGGATTTAGAGAAGAGGTATAGGTAAAAGCATTGGTAAAAGCAGTCAATCCATGTTCATTCATTAGGGTTAGATTAACAGTATCCTCTCCTCCTCTCTAGGAGGAAAAAAAATGACAAAATATTGATAACATGTCTGTTGTCCATGAAGTAAACTGGGCACCAAGATTATGTGGGGAAAGCCTACAATTTAAAAAAAAAAATCTTGCCGATCTTATTCTAAGGTTTTGAAATCAATCTGTCACCTGTTTCTGCTTCTTAGACCTGTTAGATCAACGAGAAGCAGCAGGCGAGAGGCACGAGTGAGTTTCAGCACTTTCAAGAGTAAGTGACTGCACTCTGGTGGCTGGGCTGCCGGAGTTCGTCTTTTAAGGAGTTCCGGCAGACCAGCTAGCCAATGACAGTTGTTTAAACTTCCCAGGGTTTGGGCAACCAATCCCGGGTGAGTATGTGAAAACATATAAATTTAACCACGTACGTCTGTACGTAACAAGACCTGCTATCCAAGGCACTCTGACATTGCAAACATTCTACTTTCAAAACAGTTTGTGGCCAACCTCAGCTCTTCTTCTTTCAGGTCTTAAAAAACAAGAGTAGCCAGCCAGCTGCCTAATAGGAAAAAGCACATGCAAAGACTAAACCAGGGGTCCCCAACCTTGGCAACCTTTAAGACTTTAAGCTTACTGGCTAGCGAATTCCTAGAGATAAAGTCCACTGATCTTAAAGTTACTATGGTTGACACCTCTGCACTAAAGACAGCCAAAGTGGTAGCTTGGAGGACACTAGCAAAGGGGATGCTGGGCTCCCTCTTTCCTATTCTTTGTTCTGTGACTTCAAGGAATAGGAACTGGGGCAGATAAACAGCATAGAGGGAGTGAGAAGCCACTAGTGCTACTGTACCACCTTGTTCTCCACTGCTCCCCCAACTAATCTTTTGACTCAGCAGCAGTAGCTCTCCCCTGCCATCTACCTCTTCTACCTTTCATTATTCAGAAAGCAAGAGAGTGAGAGTTAGATCACATGGAAAGAGTGGAGGCCTGATGGCTTCCCCTGTTTTGTTCTCACAAAGTTTAAGCCTGCTGCAGTGATGGGGAAGAAGTCATCTCTTCTCTTTCTCCCATCTCCTCTCCATTGTTACAGTCTAGGGAAGGCTTGGTGACTGAGCACTTTCACCAATAGACAGTTCCTTTTGGGCTCCAAGGGTTTATGCCTAGGAGTGTTCGAAGAATAGCACCCTACCATTGGCTCCTCCCATGCATATCCTGGTTCATGCTATATACATTTGCCCTGTGGTTCATCCTGGTCCTCATGGGGAAGGAGATACCAGCTGTAGCCCTATGTATTGCAGCTCAGCTACTGAGTGGGTTATGGAGAGTACAAAGGATGTGCAGTCAGGGGAGGCAGGGCCTCACCACTGTCATCATGAAAAGAAAAAAANCAAATGTCCTGTTCAATCTTATCTAGTCTTACTCATGTGCAAACTGCCAGTCTGAAAAGATTCCTATATATAGACTTGAGCAATAAAATAGGTGATTGAATTCTTCCACATATGGATCTGGTTAGGGTTAGGGCTAGGGCTGAAATTTATTACTTGTTACAAAAACAAAAATCCTGATAGCTGTTCTTTACAAAAAGGAAGGAGGGAGGGAGGGAGGTGAGGGATGTGGACATATGTATTATCCAAACTATCTATTAATAACAAGCCACAAAACCTGATGGGATTACATAACTGAATATAACTTGATTTTTACTTTGTATTTATATTTTAATTGCTGTTAGGTTGGATACAGTATCTAGATGTAAAGTAGGCAACAATTTAGTATAATAGTCAGTAATGTATTAACTATTAAGCAGACTAAGCACATGCTTGGGGCACCAGGCCCAGGTGGGCATCGCAAAGTTGAGAAAGAAAAAAAAACAATGAAGATTTGTACAGTATATATAAAGGAGGGGGGCACCAAGATTTGTCAGTGTTTAGGGCACCAGTAAACCTTAATCTGCCACTCATAAGAGTTAAGGTTTAAGAGTAAAACTAGATTTGGGAATATGGTTCAATTCCATTTTTAGTTATAAAACTAAAATCATTTGATGCTTCATAGTCAGTCCATGTATATTCTTAACTCTGGGTTGTTGTTGTTTTTAAATGACAGTGTTGTGCCAGCACACAATATGCTACCCACCTTTTGAACATTGATGTGATGTCACAATGCAGATACAAGAAAAGTTGTATCATGACACTGTATCACTGCTTCCATTAGACTGAATGGTTTGATACCAGCTCATCTGTGAATATCTCTGAGTCAGTTATATCCCAATCTATGTTATAGATTGATTGATGTGAAGATAAGATGAAAGAGTTATAAGCATCAACATGAGCTCCTGAAATAAAATGTTGGATTTATATCTAATGAATAGATATCAAATAACAACAGATGGAGAAAGGATCTTCAAAAAAAAAGTTAGAGGACACGTTAAATTTAGTACAGATATAATATACCCATGTTTCAATATCATCATGTTTTTTCTTAAAAACTGGAAGTCTTTTGGATGCAGAGAGGTGCATTCCTCATATGCCTACCAAAATGATGTTCTTATTAAGCAGAGAGGTCCGAGTTAAATTGGCTGGGAAAGAGTTGTATCAAATAATTGAATGACTCAATAGGCTTTGGTTGTGGGATCAAAACTCTAGGTATTTTGGAGCTCATGGGGAAATTCCAGATGTTGCAAACAGCAAGATTGAAAGGATTGAGAACAATGACAAATAAACCAACTAGGGAAGGAAGAAAGACTTGGGGCTAGACTACATCTATGAGAAGAAATTGTGAATTAACAAATGTTAACATAAAGCATTCCGAATAAAATAAGTTAAACAACTGGACTTACTCTGATGAAATTTGGCAAATCACCAATCATTGAAGCCCAGCTCAGTGTCCATATACTTTGATAAGAGTTGTGTGAAATCTTAGATACAAAAAAGTCACTGGCATTTATGTACTGAGCTGTAAAAATTATCACTGCAATTTTGCAGAAGGCTGTGAAGGGGATTGGCAGAGATGGACACTGGGATACCTGGAAGAAAATGAAAAAATAATAAACTAAGTAAAATGCAGATTAAGACCTGGTTTTAATCTCCAGGCTGAACAGCAATTCCTAATATGATGCAAATGATGTGAGTGACAAACATACAGTATTTGGGGTTATTTGCACAAAGAAATGATATATGTGATATCATCATGATTAATTTTAATTATCATGGTCAATTGCAAATTTCAAGAAGTAATCATGGCCCCTTACCACATGCATTGGCAAAATGTTGAGGGCAAGATAGATTCAAAGTTTTGGTTTTTGTCTGACTTAACATGCGGAAAATAATACCGCAGACTCTATGGTTTGCTTTTCAAAATCAGCAGTAAATCCCTTAGCAAAATTGTGATTCGCTGTCAAGTGTTGGTAATAAGTTTTCTCAGGGCCTTGGCAGTAAGAAAAATTGAGTTTAGTGAATTTTCAGTTGGTCAACCCTATCTTAAATCATATCCACACTAGATGGTTGCCCCACCAAGAGTATAGGCTAGGCTATCAACCATATTAGTACTATTTGTCTTTCTCTGCATTACCTACCTTTCCCCTGGACTACTGCGTCATTTCATTGTTTTTCCAGACATCCCATCTCCCCATAGTCAACATGAATAAATACAGAGCATTAGCTAACAGGAAAAAATTAGAGGTTTCTATATGTCTTTGTGCCATCTGGTAATTATCCAGATATTTGAAGTCCAGAGTGATCACCCTAAGATAGGATTCAAGAATTATAATACTAAAGCATGTGAATTTTAGCTTCTTCTGCTGGTGCTGTATTTGTTCTATGATTAAACATTTTAATCAACAATACTTTAGAACATGGGTATTCAATGTTTTGGCTTGCCTGGGCAGCATTGGGTGAAGAGAAATTGTCTTAAGCCACATATAAAATATATGGCATAGTTTATAATATAAAATCACATAATTATGTTAAAGGTTTACAATCTTGTGAGTCTGCATTATTAGCTGTCCAGAGTTGAATGCCGTCTATGGGCCACAGGTTGGACAAGGCTGCTTTAGAATAATCGCTGTGTATGTACAATGCTTTTTTCCTTAGCTAGTTTTTTTTATTTCTGGTCATAGCTTTAATATCTGGAATTTATCAAGAATTCTGGGCTTTTTGTGCATAAAATAACACTTACACAACATTTAAGAGGTAAATCTACATTGGATTTATAGCATACTGTATATATTTTATTTTTAAACATTCTTGACATACTGGTGCAAATACAGACTTTCTTGAAATGGACTTCTTAACTTTTATTTAATTTAAATTTCCAGCCCTTTTTTTCCTTTTTTTAATCTATAATTTGTCCACTGTGATTATTAATTCACAACACATTTTATTAATATTTGCATGGCATCAGATCTGGCAGTTGCATCATTTTTGCCTTTTCTTATATTATCATTATGTTGCCTTTTATTATGTTATCATTATTTTGTTTAATTAAAAAAGTATACTGATGCATTTGGATAATACATATGATTATAGGTAGATTTGTCTGTGTTCCAATTTTCAGGATGGATGGTATATCTTGGATAATCCTTTATTTTGTGGAAGAGGATGCCAATTCTCAAGTTTACCTGGAATCACCATGTCAGGCAGATGGATTTGAAAAGTTCCTCCAAGAGGTGGGCTTGCACCTTGTATCCTCTGGACTGTCAAATTGATTCCTGTCTCATTCATAAACATCAACAATTGATCGGTCTCTTCGGGTCCCTCCAAAGGCATACCCTCGCTACGTGAAAAAAGAAACAAATAAATGAAAGCAAGTTTTGCAATACCATTCCTGTCTCAGAATGGAGCTACTTCAAATGCAAACTCTAGAATATTTGTTTATAGGTGTCCATTTCCAACCAGAAATCAGCAGGAAATCCATAAACAAGACACAAAGTAATACTATTTTTCCTCATGTGAGGAAAAAAAGCACTGAGCCGAGGTGGCGCAGTGGTTAGAGTGCAGNGTGAGTGAGAGAGGGATCCAACTTCTCTGTGTGCGTGTGTCTGTTTGAGAGAGGGGGGAGGGAGGGAGAGAGGAAGGAAGGAAGGAGGGGGAGGGAGAAGAAAAATAATGAAGGAAAACTTATTTCACAAGGGGGGGAAATGCTGTCGCTTTAAATCGGAACTGAGCATGCCTGGCTGTGGAATTCTGGGAGTTGAGGTCCCCAAGTCTAAAAAAATTTGAAACCCCTGTGTCAGTACCTCACCAGCTATAAACCTCACCGCACGTCACTGGAGAGTACAGAGAAACTGTCTTGTCCCAGGAGTTGGGGGACAAGAATGATGAGGGAAGTTCTCAGCCATGCAAATGAAAATATTCTACTCCTTCTTCTGGGACTGGTTCCAGACAGTGTTGGTGGGAGGAGAAGGTGTCTCTGTACCCTCTACATAAAGTTATTGAGAAAGGACATCTGATGGTGGAGTGAGTATGCTGATGATACTTGGTTTTATATCTCTACCCCAGGCCATCTAAGTGATGTTGTAGATAACCTGTCCCAATGCCTAGAGGCTGTGGGGGCCTGGATGGGATGCAACAGGCTGCAGCGCAATTCAAGCAAGACTGAGTAGCTTTGGATGTCTGAACATGCTGATGCCGGGGACCTTCCATCCTTGGTTCTGGATGCAGTGGTGCTACTTCAGAACGAACCTAGTACTCAATCTGGAGCTCCTGGATTTGTAAATCCAGCTTGAAGAGCAACCATGGTTCAGAGGATCTTTGCATTCTTCTGAATAAACAAATCCATTTGTTTATTCATTGATTTATCCACCCTTATGCTTCCTCCAGAGATCAGATTGATGCAGCCTTGTTGGCCTTTCATAAGGCCTAAAGACCTACTTCTGTGGTTGGATCAAGTTCAAACTCAATGCTGCTGAACATAGAAAATAGCATGAGATTACAGAGATTCAGAACAGATTTTGGAGCAGTAGAAAGTTCCCAGTGGAAGTTCAGTTAGTTTGTATGCTTGTCCATAACTGCATAAGATAGAATTTGGAGTTTCCAAATAAGAGTTGAAATTTCATTACAGTCATGGAGTAATTAAAATAGTACTGAATGAAATGCTGAAGGAGATATGTGACAACATGCTGAAATTGACAACTTCATATATTCAATTCCCACAATGTTTGTATCTTGACATTAGCGTTGTCTGTATTCTAGTTAATATTATTGTGGAATAATATACAATGTAATATAACAGGAACTCTATGCAGCTTTGTCGGTTCCAATTACACTTAATTAAACATACCCTAAATTCTTTTCTGAAGTAACTGATCAATTAGTTATATCAGCCAATTTTATTTATAATGAGGCACGTATTAGCTGTGCCATTATACCCTTCCTTATTATCTCTAATTACAACAGCATGTGCAACAATGAATAGGAACACATAGAAAGACAAATAACCAATTCAAATAAGCCTACATGCAATTAATTTCATATTCTCATAAGGAAAAATAATAATT